AACAGTCTTTTCTTGCGGTTAGAGAGTCTATTTAAGTGTCGGTTGTACCAAGGAGAATTAGTATTGCAGTACACCTTTCTTACCGGAATATATTTATTTGTTGGTTCCAAAATTTTACTTCTAAATATGTTCCAGTTATCTTCTGCAGTGCGTTCAAAACTTGCAGGGAAAAAAGTATCTAAGAAAGAGCATAATTTAGTATTTATGGTGTTAAAGTCAGCTCTGTTATAATCTCTGATCATTTTAAAACGGTTGGACGAGCGCAAGCGTGGAAACGATAGAGAAAAATGAATTATGTCGTGATCACTTAACCCAGGCAGCAGTGTTATCTGGGACACAAGATCTCGAGATGACGTCAACACGAGATCTAGAAGTGATGATGTAGTCGAGGTGACACGTGTGGGATGCTGAACTAATTGTGATAGCCCAAAGTCGTTGCAAATCGAAAGAAATTCGGTAGATTCAGATGACGTTGCCATAGAGCACTGGTAAGTGTCTGACCACTGAATGTCCGGGAAGTTAAAATCGCCTAAAAGAATAATAGTCGCACCTGGGAAAGGAACAGTAATCTGGTTTAAGCAGTCATGAAAAGAATCGCAAAAGTTCGATGGGCTGGATGGTGGTCGGTAACAAACTGCAATTATTAGGTTTTTAAAGCCAGTACGAATACAACACCATACCGATTTTAAGTCGGTGAGAACAGGAACAAGGAAACATTCAATGTCATCTTTAATCGCAAGTAGAACACCACCACCTCGTCGCTCATATCTGTCACAGCGAAAGACCTTGTAACATTGTTCACATTTTAATAATTCGGCATCAGAGACTGTATTCGACAACCACGTTTCAGTTAGAGCGACAATACCAGCGTCACAATCATTCATCGGGGCACACAAGTCATCACTTTTTGACAAAAGGTTACTTATGTTAGTACTTAGTACAGAGAGAGCACCGCCCCCTGCGTGACCTTAACTTAGATCACTTTGCGGCATACGGCCAGACCGGAGTCGACGCGGGGAGGCAGCATGACTATTTGCGGTTCTGTGTGTGGAATTACTGATGTTTTCGTCGTTACTTACAGCGTCGCTAACACTTGCGCTATCTCCTACGTTATTACTAGCCGGGGAACTTTTTCTTGTGGATGGACCGATGACGTACACTGCTTTAGTGGTTTTATCATAGCCGTAGCATTTTCCATTGGCGAAACGTTTCGTGTGTTGAAGATTGAACGGAACATGCAGTCCTTTGCCATATTCGTACAGAGCCTTTCTCGTATCACGCGTAGTTGCACAAAAGTCCTCACTCATAGAAACATTGCAGCCTTTTAGTAAGAAGCGTTTATCAAAAACGGTTTCTTTTGTTTTGTAGGCCGAAAATTTTACGATAAGAGGGCGGTTCCGGCCACTAGAGAATTTGCCAATTCTATGCGCACGGGCTATACTATCGGACGATATCGTCAGCTGAAGCTTGCTAGCGAAAAGTTTAAGAACTTTCATTTCAGATTGTTCGGCAGTCTCTGAAGCGACATCTTCAATCCCAAAGAACACAACGTTGTCCCTTCGGGAGCGGTCCTCGAGATCGTCAAGACGGGTTCGAAGCGAGTTCCTTTGACCAAGTGTCGATGTCACATCATCATGCAACCTCACATCATGCAACGAGATTATGACGTCACAAATTTTGACGACTACGACGTCATTTGGTAACGTCATGACCAGATGATTATTTGTATCACTCGTGTCGACGCCGACGACCAATTTTCGCGTTTGATGAGGCATCTACCGATTTAGGCTTAAAATCCTGATGCCGTCCCTGCGAGTACTGACGTCCAACCTTGAGGGAATACAGTACGACATAGCTAGCTCATGAACGAGTTGGGGACAAGGAACGTATACGGCTTCGCTGTCCCGTTCAAGTTAACATAACTCGATCAACGACAGCGCAACGAAAAAGTCGGAAATTTTAATACTATAATCGTACACCAATGAGACTTTCAAAGCTCCGCCGCGGGGGTCTAGTGGCTAAGATACTCGGCTGCTGACCCGCAGGTCGCGGGATCGAATCGCGGCTGCGGCGGCTGCATTTTCGATGTAGGCGAAAATGCTGTAGGCTCAGATTTGGGCGCACATTAAAGAACCCCAGGTGGTCGAAAGGGACCGAACCTGCGACTTTCGAATAACGCGTCTGATCTACAGCCACGGTCAGCCCTTTGTCCACATTGTGGGGTGCATGTGTGCCCATATTCGAAGGTCGCAAGTTCGGTGCCTGCCGGCGGCATAAAAGTGGTAGGTGTTCTGTGGCGGCATGTTATCTTTTCGTCCATTTTTTTTTTTAATTTTTAGTCGGGACTATGTCAGGCATCCGGCGGCGGCGTCAGGCAGCGCGCCGGCAGGTGTTCTCTCTCTGCTCTCCCTCCCTCTTCCATAGCAACAGCTGTGTGCGTGTGTGCTTATTCTAGCCCCCAGCAGGCGGAGCATGTGGTGCGAGAAAGTTTGGGAGAAGGTAGGTGCAGTGCAGTGCTATGGTGGCTAGATAGCAGTGCTTCGCTGCTCCCTCTCACGCCGTTTGCTCTCTCTCACCCCACCCTGCACCCCACTCTCCCGCCCACTCGCAGGCACTGTGCCGTGCTCTCTACCGGGTTGCGAAAATTAGGCGCCTTCTTCCCATAGAGTTTCCTAATGTACACTGGAGGGAACTCTGGCGCTAGTGTCTATGGGAGCTGCAACGCACGGCGCTTCAGCGAGCATGGGAATGATGGGTAGTACACACATTTGTCTAATATTCGTACTTCTGGCCTGCTTTTGGCTCCGTGTGTGTTCGTGTGGCTTGGAACTGCTTTCTTACGAAACAAATATTTGCAAATGTTCAGCGGTTGCGCTTCACCACCTTATCATTTTAGACTTACCTTTCCAAATCAGGTCAAGAAGTTCGAAAATGTTGTATCTTTCTTTCAAAACAAAACTGAAACAGCAATAAACGAAGCCGCAAATACGATTTGCCGCCCACAAGTGCGAAGACTAGATAAATGTGTGTACTACCCACCGTTACCATGGTCGCTGAACGATCGCAGCGCCAGAGTACCATCTAGTTAATTTTAGGAAACTTTATGCTTCCTTCCCTTCTAACCACCACCACTCGCGCCTCACTCTCGACCGTTCGCTCGCTGGTCGCTCCTCAAGCACATACCGATATGTGTGCGCGAGGCACCACTGTGAAACGCCAACGCAGAGCTGAGAACGCTGGCACCCCACTCTCCCGTCCGCTCGCTCCTCACTTTCGACCATTCGCTGGCTGGGCCCCTCTCAATGCGATGGCAGTAGTTGACGGCGAATGTCTGACGGCAACGATGCCCTCCCTCGGTGCAAGAAATGCATTCGCATTTCCTCTCGATTCCCTTCGGGGAGGTGGGGGCATTTTTTCTTCATGCTTACATAACGATAACTACTCATAACATCACCTATACTTTTCTTGGCATATGGGATATGTTAGTTCCCGTTAATAGTGCTGTTACAAGTAACACTGCAGCAGTCACACGAATCGAACAAATATTTGTCCAAGGAAAGCATAGCGGACTGTAATATTGTTTATATGGTGTAGTAATTACTACGCAAATTTAAATGAATTGAAGTACACAAAAATCACCCTTTCCGGGCGATATAAAAACCCGCAAATAACCTTTGAATTATATGCCAGATGTTCTACGACCACGGTGTAGCTTCGACGAAAGGCGCTTGCTCGTCCACTTCATTGGGTATTTAGGTACGGTGTGTAATACATGACTGTGTTGGCGTAATGGACCACGCGCTAAATGCGTTAAAATAGTTACATCTTGATCCTCAAATACTTCCGTCACCCGCCGCGGTGGTCTAGTGGTTACGGTGCTCATATGCTGACCTAAAGGTCGCGGGAACGATTCCCGTCTCCATTTTGATGGAGGCGGAATGATATAGGCAGTGCTTATATTTAGGTGGAACCTCCCAGGCGGTCGAAATTTCAGAAGCTCTCCACTACAGCGCCTCTCGTAATCATATCATGGTTTTGGGATGGATGTGGCACCGAATGGGAGACACGCACTCCGAGTTCAATGCTCCTTTTAACAGTGGGCCACTGTGTACGTATGCGCCATTTCTGGCTTCGCAGAAACACGCGTGTAGTGGTAAGTCAAAATGGTAGAAAGAAAAGGGAGAAAACACAGAGCATGCCTTTTAGTCAGTAGAACGCGCACTGCGATATCTTGAATACTCGTAGAATACTCCCATCACGCATGCTGCGTTCGCTGACAGCCTGAATCAGTTCAAGTTCAGCACGCCCACAAAACCACGACGAAGCTGCCTTACAGATGACAGCTGTCATCTACTTGCCATAACGATCAAGTTGCATCCTAGAACCATGCAAAGGTAGACCTGCAATGAGAAAACTAAACGGACTGTGCGTCACCGTAGATTTAGGTTTCCCGACAACTCGTCAAGGCACGTATTAATTAATAACAAGGTACTCTGCATTGCATTGGTCACTGCATTGTTTGCACGGACTGCGGATTCACTCACTTTCCGTGACAAATGTAGGCGTGGACACTTTGTTGGATTCATACTCGCAGCTCTCGTTTTCACACTCGACTCTTGTTCTCAAGCTTAGCAGTGGGTGTTCGACGAAAAATAATTAGTTCATCACAGTAAGTACACGCGTCACCGTATCGCTGCGCGCAGAGACTCGGCCATGCAGTCGCCTAGCAGACAAGCTTGGCGCGCTTTTTTTTCAGGCTGGTGGTGTCATCTATTGGGTTTCCTAAAAGTATATTTAGAAAACTCTATGGCGTCATCAAAGATGATTTTAACAAAAAAGTTCATTACCTTAAATAAAAATGTTAATTACATTTTATTTCAACTACAAAAATTAATTGTGGTAGTTCTATGCGTTTTTTGCATGCCGTTTTTACACAAGTTTGAAAAAATTAAAAAAAAACGTGTGCGAGCATGCAAGTTCAAGCCGAAGTCAGCCGGAGTCAAAGTTAGAAAAACATGGTTGGTCCCCATGTGCGTCTGCATTTTGCAAGCCGTGCGTCACTTCTGAGGGCACTCGCTTCAGTTTCGATTGTGGTGTGCATCACTGTTTACCGACGGGACAACTGACAAGCGTGAAACGTCCCACGATTATCGACCTCGCAGATCATGTGCGGTACCCTGCGTCGTTCCAGTTCTTCATGAAAACAGCGCCATCTCCGTGAACCGCAGTGGAAGATCGCGAAGATTCCGGAATACAACAATCAGGAACCGCAAACATGGCTAGGGTGATTTCAAGGATTACTGTACCTTTATCCCGGTGCTGTGCGCCCGCGTGGGGAGTGAGTGCCGCGCGCTTCGGTGGATGTCTACCGAGCGCTAGAGACAACGTGACCCCTTTAGCTCTCCGATCGTTTTCCATTGCAGCAGGTGCTCCGAAAACTGACTAGCGCTGTGAACGAGAAAAACGACGAACATGCTGCACCCGCCGAAAGTGCCGAAATGACGGTGGACGATTTCAAGGATCTCGTGACGAGCGAAGAAACGAGACGACGGATTCACTTGATCCTGCTCGAGTACGTGAGCTGTCGCGACACCGTTGGACGCGTGCCTTCTGTGTTGAGCATTAGGGACATGAAGGAAGCTGCTCAGTATGGGTTCTCCGGTGCAAAGAACGAAGTACTTCAACTACCTCTTCAAGACCGAGATGTCGGCGCGTGCTGTGAGGCGACGCAAGGAGAAACTCAGGCTAGAGCGGATCGCCGCGAAGGAAGAGAAGTTGAAGAGGGCCATCGAAGATGGCTCGATTAACCACATCCAGTATGGTATCGAAAACTCACTTTTTCTTTTCATCCGGGATCAGGCGATGCACCATTACTACAACTACAGACAGGTAGGGGTGCGCGACATCCTCAGTTGTGGTTTACATTTATTACGCAGTGTCGCACTGCTTACCCCAAAGTTTCATACCTGACGAAAACTTTTCGGCGCGAACTGAAGATATCCGTCTACACCAACTTGCTCAAGCCGAGCTCCCAAAGTTCTTCTGTGGTCTTGATGATGATCCCCTTCTACTACTGGTAGTTCGTGGCAATAATTACACAAAAGTAATATGTAAAATTAAAAAATACGCATCTTTGCCAAACTATATATAGAGTATGTAGTAGTAACTAAACTATAGCTCCTATTTTACTCCCTAGGAGCATTAGCTAAAGTATGCCTTGGTATTGTGATCCCTGTTGTTTAATTTTATTAGGAATGTTGAAGCAACATATTTCCCCTTAATTAGTAGATGAACAAACAATATATACATGTCTTATTTATTATAATAAAGTTTATAATGTGGTTAAGATGCATGAACATCTACAGCATGTATGATCATTAATGTTCCTTTAGTGTCATCAAGTTCCCTAAAAAAAAAGCTGTCTTTTTTCTACCGATGCTCCATCTATGGTCTATACTACTTGCAATCATATCCACTTGCAATCAACATATAAGTTTTGGTACAACAGGTCTTTATGACAACAGAATATAAGTTCTTGAGTCACTCAAACTCTTTGCTTCTAGGAGAACACAACAATGACTATCTCACGGCCGAGTGAACAGGACAAATGAAATATATCTCAGTACCACTGATGAAGGTTCCTATGCATGACCATAGTACAGACTGCTGAAGAGTGTTAAACTTGTGCTTTAGTAAGCAGAGCACACATATTCTCATTCACTCCACTGTCTTTTTGAGACATTCAAAGAAAATGGTTCGAAGCCTCTTTACACATGACAAGTTCCACATGACAGGGTACTAATTACTATGTGTATCAAAGGGCCTTAAACCACCTTTCACACTTGGTAAAAAATATATATATGCAAGTGGAAGGCAGACACTGCTGAGACCAGTTCCACCAATATTTCAATTGAACATGTCTAGGAGAGTTCACAAGCAGGGTGCAAAGTTGGCAGTTTGTCAAGTGCCTTATCATCATACAGAGTCCCATACTTATTCCCCTCGGAGGCTCGTTTAATAACAGATCCTTCATCACACCATGGTAATGACGGATAGTTACCATAAACCAATAGTGCTGTGTAGGCCAAATGCACTTCTTGCCGGAGGGTGTTGCCATGTGCCTAGGCACTGCTAAAAGTACACAGTAGCAACTCTAGCACACGCCAGAATCGCATCAGGATAGAATGGTTGTACTTCGTGATGCGCCCATGGACATAGCTTCTTTCCCGTATGTCAGTATTATTGTGTAGCTTCTATCACGCTTGTTGGGATGAAAGAAGAACGATATTAAGACATGTGAGAAATTCATGTAACTACGTTCATACTTCAGAAATTCTGGAATTTTTTGCATTGATCGATTCGGCAGGCAAAAAACACTGATATTGAGGACAGTCGATGAGTACTTGGAAAGCTCCTACACAAACATGGCTTAGTGATATGCGTATGGTAGAGAAACACAAATATCATTACCATTCATACTCTTGTGGCAGCATAACACTACAAATTGTATTGCAGTGTTTCTCTACCATAAGTGTATCACCAAGCCATCATAAACCAAATAACCCAATTCATCGTGGTACTTGCATTTCTGCAACAATCTAACAGGAATTTGCATTCGTTGCTTATGCAGTCATATCTGATTTAATTAAGTTATTTGGAGCTATGTACTTAGAGCAGAGTGGATTAGGAAACAAACCGGGTTAGGGATATCATAGTTGAAATCAAGAAGAGGAAATGGACATGGGCCAGGCATGTAGCACGTAGAGAGGATAAGCGCTGGTCATTAAGGGTAACTAACTGGATTCCTAGAGAAGGCAAGCAGGTTAGGGGGAGACAGAAAGTTAGGTGGGCAGATGAGATTAAGAAGTTTGCGGGTATAAATTGGCAGCAGCAAGCACAGGATCGAGTTGACTGGCGGAACATTGGAGAGGCCTTTGTCCTGCAGTGGACGTAGTCAGGCTTATGATGATGATGACTTATTGCTGAAATTATATTTGGCAGAAACCACAATCTTAAGGACTGCTGAGGACAGTAACTGCAATGTTACTGTCTTGGACTGTAATTACTGAACTTGAATTGATGGCACAAATGTTTAGACAGGAGCGAAGAAGACATGGAAAGTGCACTTTTCCATGTCTTCTTCACTCCTGTCTGAACATTTACGCCATCAAATCAAGTTCAGCTCATGCACCAACTAGCCCGACAGCAAATGTTATTAGACTGAAATTACCATGGCCGAGGCACCACTTCTGCTAGTTGAGTGGTTTGCTGATTGCACATTTTCAACTGTGGTTACAACTTTCGCATCTGATTGCATTGCACTGATGGCTTGCATGATGTGTTTTCAATTGTTTGTCTTGTTTTGCAGGCCTATGCCACTATGTTTGGGCAAACACTGGTGTTTGACCTGGACTACGAGGAGGAAATGACGCGCCGCGAGGTGACCAACGCCGCCTACCAGTTGCAAGAAGTGTACGCTGTAAACAGGCTCTCTGCAGACCCATTTAATCTGGTGTTCTGTGGTCTGAAAGGCAAGCAGTACAGGAAAAAATTGTACGAGGCCATGCCCCACTTGGACAAGCCTAATTGTCTCATCACGGTCAGTGATAACAGCTACCTTGACATGTTCCCAAAGGAAAAGTTGGTTTATCTGACTCCCGATGCAAGGCAGCCACTTCGCTACAGTGACGACGCTATCTACATCATAGGTAAGGCTAAAGAAAACTACCATTTTTTCATAGGAATACTGATTTAAATTTTAACTTAGAACTGCTATTACATGCTTCTTGAATGAAGAAATTAGAGTCTGGGTTTCTTCATGCCACAACCTTGATATGATTATGAGGTTTGCTGTTGTTGGTGCTTTGAAGTAGTTCTGACCACCTAGGGTTTTTTTTTTTTTGATATGCACTTAAATCAAACTGCATGGGTGTTTTTGTATTTTGCCACTATCAAAATGCAGCTGCCACGATCTAGAAATGAAGCATGTCGATAAGCTAGCCATCATAGCTCTTTCCCTGCTTGGCTAGCATAGCGGGTCCACGTGCTTCTTGCTTGTAAATATAATCTATTAGTGGACATAAAGGCTCGAAATCGAACAGTGAATGCTAGGATAGAGTTGGTGACATCATTTCATTAAAACATATTCCTAAGTTCATGTAACAAGTAGGCTCATGATGATGATGATGAAGGAGCGCTGTGATGGCACCAGAAATAAGCGAAAATGTCGTACAAGTTTTTTTTGTAGCTGTGCTTGTGTGTGGCTACTGCACTCATCACTTAAATTTGGAAGTCACTGTTTCATGACATCACAACTCATCGACTTCCTAGATACCTAAATCATAGTTGGTTTGTTGGAAATATGTCTCATAGTATTGAAGTTACCATTTACGTTTTTCATCTGAAATCTGGGAGGTGTGGACCTTTTGTTACCAGAAAAAAAAATTGAAGCGAGAAATTTCATGCAAGTTATGCGCACACTATATAGCTCTGGCTGATGAAGCTGTCATGTAAGTGTAGTTTTCAAAGCATGCAGCACAGCCCAATTTTATGGCTTATTTTTGCAGGTGGGATGGTTGACCTTGGCACTCAGCAGCCAATCTCCTTGGCGCGAGCAAAGAGACAAGGAATCACTTTTGCCAGACTTCCTTTGGATGAGTACTTGCCGTGAGTCTTTTTTTTTTTTTTTTTAAGCCTTGTAACTAGGTTTGGGAAATCTCCACCGGGGGTCATTGGTGAGTTAATTAGAGAGCTATACTTATTTTGGCAAGTTCAGTATCTTCTAACCAATGCCTGTGCTTTTCAGGAGTCTAAGCAATGTAAATTCATCTGATGAAACGCCTCAAAGTACTGTTCCCGCATTATCCTAAGAAACTATGCACGATCACTTCTCGTTGCTCTTGAAGGCATACCGAATAGCTGATTAGTGAGCCATATTGGCATGTCAGAAGTACAGTGAAGGGTTTTTTACATGCTCTTTCTTTCGTTCTCACATTCTTTCTGGGAACTGGCAGGAAGTTAGATGAAGATGCAATCTCAAAATTATTAAAAAGTACATCCACAAAAAATATAAGCATTAAAAAGAACATTCCGAGTAAGTCATAATCACGATGCATCAATGTTGTGCTGAAAATTAAGTGTTTTAAGGTGAAAGCCAGCAAGTTTGGTGAATACAGGGCTACCAACACAATCGATTCCTGGTATAAGTGGTACCAACACTGTAGTGCCCCCAGTTATGTCTATCTGAAGGAATTGTCGAAGTGTTGTATGTGCAGTTTTATACACGTTGTTTCGTGAAAATTTTAATGTAGCTTGAAAATATTATCTATGTGGACCTTTTCGAAAACATGGTCAGTGGCAGCTGTCGTAGAAATGTCTCAGCCACTCGCGTACTCAGAAAGCTTGTAGGATGAAATGTCTGCGCAAAGGTCAGAAGGTAGTAATCTCAGTCAGTGCATGAAACTGCCATTCTGGTAACTGTGCAATCATCATTCTTAGCTGCTGCTAGCTCGTGACATCCATGACTCAGCAGAATGCTCCCCCATTTTCTACCCTCTCAATGTGGAAAACAACACAAGGCATGTGCAATTTTTGAGACGGCAGTGCAGCTTTGCAGGCGGTACCCCCATCTCTGAAAACTGTGCATTACTACCTGCACGTATCCACATCTGTTCTTCCACCACAATGTATTATAAATCTTGTTAATCACCTTTTACAAAAGCCCACTAAACTAAAACACAAACATCCATCCTCTCCTGAGCTTCACCTAGCTATATTAGACACTAGCTATTTAGTTCTCCATGCGTTAATGGGAGTGTGGTACAATGATCTCATGGCAATTTCCTTCTCGTATGATTCTGAGTGAGATTAAAGCTGTGCAAGAAACCGAGGACAGGTGGAAGGCATGAACAAGACATTGCGGGTGCACGTTTAAATTAGGAGAAGGTCAAAAAAACATCTGCCGAATATAAACATGGACTGTGAAGTCTGCGAATAAGAAGTTGGTTAATATAAATGTGTTGTATTTGTGAATGATCTGTTTGGGGTTTTCTAGCGAATGACATACACCTGGGTAGATAATTCATCTGTACAGACTTGATTAAAGTAAACTTGCTACGTTTTGTCAAATATTTGAAGCAAGAAAAAAAGATATGCTGTTTTATGTGTTTGATTCAGGGGTGTAAGAGTATTTGAAATTTTTAATATTTCGCGAGTCGTGTTTGCCATTTCATTCTATTTGCACTGGAACTTTACTATTTGAACTTCCCAAAGAAAAATTGTACAGTCAACATCTAATTAAAAGTGACTCCTTTAGATTATTAAATGTTTCACCTCATCACATTCTTGTATTGTGGAAAAGCTGTTTTTGGGCTCTGCTAGGGTCGCAAATGTACTGGCTCTAGAAAACATTAGTTTCGACAAAAACATGATGGATGTGACAGAGGTAGGGGCTCAGTTAATGCTTTTTTGTACCTGAAATTTAGGCAAAAAAAAAAAAAAAAAATCGCCCCGCCACGGTGGTCTAGTGGCTAAGGTACTCGGCTGCTGACCCGCAGGTTGCGGGATCAAATCCCGGCTGTGGCGGCTGCATTTCCGATGGAGGCGGAAATGTTGTAGGCCCGTGTACTCAGATTTGGGTGCACGTTAAAGAACCCCAGGTGGTCAAAATTTCCGGAGCCCTCCACTACGGCGTCTCTCATAATCATATAGTGGTTTTGAGACGTTAAACCCCACAAATCAATCATAAAAAAAAAAATCAAACATAGAAATTTTCAGCACCCAAAATTTCAAATGTTTTTACATATCAACTTGTTTGAAGTATGCATGTTGATAAGCGTAAAAAATTGCAGATCTCTTATTTACTTCATTGCATCCAATACAGTAGATTTATTGAACGAAACCAGAAGGTACCAGGGACATGTGTTTTATTTAGCATGAGTTCTGTGCAGGGGTGCAGAATACAAGTATCATGCCAGTCTTTTGAGAGGCAGCTGTTCCAATCAGCAGCTCCGTTTGAGAGGTTTGCTTTTTCCGATAATTTACTGTAATTCATTATATATATACCTGTCAAATAGAAGTAAAGGAAAATGTAACTTGCTGATACCTAATCACCGGAAAATCTGTTTTAAAACACTAAGGCATACTTTGTCCAGACTTTGCTAGCTTGTCATACCATTTGTGAAATGTAAATGCTCACAAGCTACATGTTGCACACAGTTGGGGTCAGTCAGCGTCCAAGACGCTCGCTCTCAACCACATCACCCGCATACTTCTCGACATGAAGGCCACCAGGAATTGGAACGAGGCCTTCAAGTCTATCCCTCGAAGGAAGCTTAAGAGTGCCGAGCAGCTTCAAGCAGAACAACAGTTCCAGGTCACGAAAGAACACAGGAAGCAGAGGTGAGCTGTGGCCCCGCTTACCATTGCAACGGTCAACTGTCAGCTTTCTTTTCCTGTTCGTAATCAAATCAGCAAACGTAAAAGAAGGGGAATTTTCGAGCGGCTAATTTTATTATCATTTTTTTGTTAGACACAGCTAATAAAACCAATGGAAAGTCCAGCTAAATAAAAGCATAGTCGACCTCCAGTGTAGGTGTTGTGCTAGATGACACCCTCCGGCAAAAAGACCACACTTACTAACGCTTCCATGGATAAAAGGAGCACTGACATGAAAATTTTGCACCTTGCTTTTTATGCTGCAATCAGTAGTTAACAACTCATTTATCATGGCTGGGAAATCGTTTGCTCGAGCACACAACGCTTAATTATTTGCAAAGGGTTTTATACCGCGAAGTCGCTGTTTCCGTTTCAGAGAATGCCGAGTAAGACGGGACCCAGAATGTTTTTTGCGTAAACTTAACTGACTACCTGAACACAAAAAACTGTGCACGTGAGCACCGTGTTGGCAGCCTGCAATGAATGCTTCCTCCAAGACTTTGTAATTGGAGTGCCCTCTCAAAAAATGCACTGCTGAGGCAATGACATCAGCCTTTGTACTTCAACGCAAGCCTGCCCCCTCTTTCGGTTGAAAAGGTCTTTGTCCTTGAAAGGTCTACTGGTTGCTTACTCAAAAACCAGAGGCATGTTTCACGTGCACGTAAGGTGCTGCAACAGGTACTTTAAAATAATTTTAAATATGTTCCAGGCTACATTTTTCGTTGATATCTTGTAGATGATGCGTGCATGTCCACACAAATCGGTCCCACAAGTTATCTTCGCCTTCAAAATCTTTTGTCAGCACTCCTTTAAAATGCACATAAATTTGTTACTAAGTGGACGAGAGAGTGCCTGGTCTTAAAAGGGCCAAGGAACATTCATCTAGTCATTACTATACCTAAATTAGTTATAAAATCACTATTTCGATTCCCCAGCTCGCAGTCCCCTCAATTGTACAGCTGACTTCACTTCAAGGAAACCAATGAAAAGTGTCTGTCATCGACAAAACATGGCGACGCAGTGATGCTTGCAGAGTCGAAGTTGACCAAGATTGGTAGCATCACACCATCTTGATTGTGGTCCCATGAGAACGTTTTCACTGGGATAAGTTGTGTGACATTGTCTGATGGCTCACACGGCTAGCATAGTGAGGGGTAAGCCCCCCAAAACATTGTAAAACACAACCTAACTCAATCAGTAAGGAAAAATAGGGGTGCTACACTGAGCAAGCGAAGGCAGCCAGAAAGGCAAGAATGCGCACTTGACCAAGCCTGGATGTAATTAAAAGCGGAATTAAGCTAATCACTTGCAGTACTTGCACAGCATACAACTGAGAGCGCTAAAACTGCTGCATTTTTCAAAATAAGTTTCTCTAAATCTATTATTTTAGAGTGAAAAAAAAGCTAACAACACGTTAATGACTTCTCTTAGCGCAACGTCAAACGTTAGTGCTTATGGCAGCCAGTAGTGTCGCATGGTCGCTTAGGAGCCTAAGAAAATTGCGATTTTAATTGGGCGTCATTAATTATGTGCGAATATTGCGCCAAAAAATTTTGGAATCGGCATGTCTAATCCTTACTGAAACAGTGAAAGTTACAAGTTTCCTTTTCTTTCATGACCCCTCTAACTGAATCGGTAGAGCATCAAATGCGTAGCTTCAAGGTTGCGAGTTCAGATCACACCAATTGGGTAATTGTTCGTCCACTGTTAACTCCTTTTAATACGGGTCAGAAATCATTACACTGCAGTTAAAAAACTACGAATGTTGTCTGCTATGCTTCCCTCGGTTTAAGTGCCCGTTGGTTTCGTTTGTATTGTCGAAAACTACTTAGAACAAAAGGAGCGATGGGTTGATTCTCAAAAGATTATGAAAGCGAAGTACGTTAGTCTTGAAACTGAAATACATCTTGCAAATTCCTTGGTTTTTTCCTCCCTGCGGTGGTGGTTTATGTGTGCGAGTTCTGGCCTTTATTAAAAATTGAAGACAAATAAGCAAAAGACAATGTCTCACATTCGGCGAGCTCGAGTTCATAAGTTTCAGTTGTAAGGGAAATGGCAAAAGTCTGGTCTGCGCAAGTGTAAGATGTTCGTTACAACATAGTCAATACAGTACTCATCTCAAATTGCATCTTCTTAAAAAAAATGGTTATCCTTTGTCAATATCAAAACTGTTTACACCCACAGCACCTCTTCTGTAAACTGAAAGTAAGTGAACTTGCTGTCAGTTTACAAAGAGGGCAAAGCTCTTTTTGGCTGCAATTTTATAACTGCTACTACGATCACGTTTGAAACTAGTTTGTGATGTATTTTTTTCTCCAGGGTGATGAACAAGTTCAACTTGGACAAAGAAGCAATATTCAAGCATTGAATAAAAAGGTTGTAGATAAAGAAGGAAAATAAATAGGTGCTCAGCAGTTGCTTGCCTTGATTGCAGCTGAACTGTTTGTTATTTTCATTCAGAAAACATACTGAAACTTCCAGGTGTGAAAATGATATTGTCACGTGATTACAGATTGACCACAACGTCTGTTCACAGGAGCAGCACTGGACGTCCAACCAGAAAACCGTCCTCTTCTTCTTTCACACCATGGCACATACTCGCATTGGCATGGCTAAACCTCGTTCCATGCCTGTGGCATTACCCCTCCCCCCCCTTCGAAAAAAAAAAGTACCACCCCGATGACCAATGCCGATTAAAAGTTAAAGTAATCGCGTACACGCACAAAGACGCGTGATGAAGCACTGTCAGGTGGCTCGGGGGTAGTATGGCTTCATCCGTGACACATGAACAATGTCGGCCTGCTGGGAACATCGAGATCGCTTAGCTGTGTTTTCAAGCAGAATTTCGTAGTTGACATCTGTGAGGCGCCGTAGTACTCTATAAGGACTGAAGTAGCGGTGAAGTAACTTTTCCGAGCGGCTCCTTTGGCGAACGGGGATCCATAGCCAGACCAGATCACCGGGTTGGTAAATAACATGGCGATGACGGGAGTTGTACCTCTGCGAGTTGATTCGTTGTTGTTTTCGGATCCGCTCGAGTGCAAGCTGGCGGGCCGCGTCGGCGAGCCGGATAAAGTCGTTCGCATCAGTAGGAATATCGGTCATGTCAGGCAAGAGCATGGCATTAAGCATCGTAATTGCTTCTCGGCCGTGAAGCAACCGGAAGGGAGTGAAACCTGTAGTCTCTTGAACCGCAGTGTTGTAAGCGAACGTTACGTATGGCAAAATTGCATCCCAGTTTTTGTGATCGCGGTCGACGTACATAGATAGCATGTCAGCGAGCGTCTTGTTTAATCACTCCGTCAGACCATTGGTTTGTGGATGGTATGCGGTCGTTTTGCGATGAGCTGTTCCACTAAGTCTTGTAACGTATTGCATCAATTGGGCTGTAAAGACTGTTCCACGGTCAGTGATAAGAACTGTTGGCGCTCCATGGCGGAGGACGATGTTGTTGATGAAAAAATACGCAATCTCATTGGCGGTGCCTCGTTGTAGGGCTTTTGTTTCGCAGTACCTGGTTAAATAGTCAGTAGCGACTACAACCCAGCGGTTGCCATCATGTGACTTCGGGAAGGGCCCAAGCAAGTCCATGCCGATTCGTTCAAATGGTTGTGACGGGGGTGCAACAGGCTGCAATAAACCAGCAGGGCACACAGGTGGGGCTTTACGGCGCTGGCAATGATTGCACGTTTTAACGTAATGCTTGACATCCTGGGTGAGCTTTGGCCAGTAGTAGCGAGTCCGAATCCGGGCAAGGGTACGTGCGAATCCTAGGTGGCCGGAGGAAGGCTCGTCGTGGCAGGCAGATAAAATGTCAGCACGTAGCCCTGGTGGAACGACGAGGAGGTATTCAGTCGCATAAGGTTCGAAGTTCTTTTTGTAGACGATGTCGTTGCGGAGACAAAATGACCCTGAACGTGCGAATGCCGATGGTGGACTCGAGCTGTGACCTTGAAGGTATTTGATAAGTTGTCGGATCTCTGAATCATTCCACTGTTGTTGGGCCAAGTCAGATTCACTGACTGCACAAAGAAAATGGCGATCGGTATCATCGTCACTCGATGTCGTTGCGAGGGGTGCGCGCGAAAGGCAATCAGCATCAGTGTGCCTGCGGCCCGACTTGTAGACGACTGTAACCTCAAACTCTTGAAGACGTAAGCTCCACCTCGCGAGGCGCCCTGAAGTGTCCTTGAGATTGGCCAGCCAACAGAGGGCATGATGGTCCGTAACTACTCTGAATGGACGGCCGGCCATACAGATACGGTCGGAACTTTGTTATCGCCCAAATAACAGCAAGACATTCCTTCTCCGTGGTTGAGTAGTTAATTTCCGCAGATGACAGAATGCGACTAGCATAAGCGATGGGACGTTCAGCGCCATCTTGCCACTGGACGAGCACTGCACCAAGACCGATGTTGCTTGCGTCAGTGTGAAGTTCGGTGGCGGCATCTTCATCAAAGTGCCCTAGTAAGGGTTCACTCTGAAGGCACTGTTGAAGCTTGGAAAAAGCGGCTCTCTGCTCTGGACCCCACACAAAAGGAGTATCCTCCTTCGCTAAACGGGTAAAGGGTTCAGCGATGTTGGCAAAGCTCTGGACAAAGCGCCTGTAGTAGGCGCAGAGACCCAAAAACCGGCGCAAATCCCGTTTGTTCGAAGGTGGAGGAAATGCAGCAACGGCCATGGTCTTTTCTGGGTCTGGTCTAATGCCATCGTGACTGATTAGGTGGCTGAGGAACTTTAGTTCTTCGTAGCCGAAATGACACTTCTCCGGTTTTAGCGATAGGCCTGCGGATCGAATAGCAACGAAGACGGACTGAAGTCGTTGTAAATGTTGCTCAAATGTTTTCGAAAAAACGACGTCGTCTAAATACACGAGGCAGGATTCCCACTTCAGACCGGACAGGACAGTGCCCATCATCCTTTGGAACGTTGCCGGTGCCGAGCACAATCCAAATGGTAACACTTTGAATTCGTAGAGACCATCAGGAGTTATGAATGCTGTTTTTTCCCTGTCGCGTTCATCGACCTCGATCTGCCAGTAGCCGCTGCGTAAATCCATTGAGGAAAAATATCGGGCATGTCGAAGTCGATCCAGTGAATCATCTATGCGTGGGAGAGGGTAGACGTCTCTCTTCGTCACTTTGTTGAGCTTCCGGTAATCGACGCAAAATCGAAGAGTGCCGTCTTTCTTTTGAACAAGTACGATGGGTGACGCCCATGGACTGTTCGAGGGTTGGATGACGTCGTCGTCGAGCATCTGTTTCACTTGAAAACGTATTGCCTTTTGTTCTTTTTGCGACACGCGGTAGGTGTGCTGTCGTACAGGCCGTTCGGTAGGGTCCGTTATAATGCGGTGCTTCACGGTTGGGGTCTGCTTGATTTTAGAGGTGGACGCAAAGCAGTCACTATACGTACGTAAAATAATGCGTATCTGCTGCTGCTACGCAGAGGATAGCTGGCAATTCACGTCAACTGTACTGGCTAATACAGTGTTACCTTCGGCAGCGGTGGCAATCGGAGTGATAGTGGAACATTCTTCGTCATCAATGGCTTCAAAGCTCGCGATCACTGTTCGCTTTGCCAAGTGTTGGTACTGGCCGCCGAAATTCGTGATCAGAAGCTGAGTCCTCCGATGTTTCAGTTGGACGATAGCACGCGCGACACAAATCTGCCGAGCCAAGAGCACCGAGAGGTTAGTTTCCGCGATGCCACTACTCTTGTTGTCACAGTCGCTCTCCACAGTTACCAACATACTGGCTCGCGGCGGAAGTGCGATGGTGTTGTCAGCAATTCGAAGTGTTGTGGTCGGCGCAACTGCATCCTTTCGTAAGGCTGTATGGTCGTTAGATAACGTTATGAGCAGGTCGCGAAGGTTAATAATGGCTCCATGCTCGCGGAGAAAATCCATTCCGAGAATCGCGCAATACAACGAAAGAAACAATGTACGTCGACTCACAAATTCGGAGGCGGGCAGTGCACATTCCTAGTGGTGTCAATAGGTGACCTCCCGCAGTCCGGAGGTTGGTTCCATGTCCCCAAGGTGTCGTTACCTTTCTTAGCTGTGCAGCAAGGTCAGCGCTTATAACAGAATAATCGGCACCCGTATCTACCAGAGCGGTCAGCGGGTGGTTGTCGACAAGGACACAGATACGAGCAGAGACACGTTTGTCGTCGATGGCACACGTCGGTGAAAGAATGTCGTCGGATGTCGGCAGGCAGATCGGGGGAGGGTCTTGTAACGGTTGATCAACAGCGGCCTCACCCCCAGAGGTCGCTGTTAGTTTCCCCGGCGCGGGCTTGTGGATCTAGGCGATCTTCCTGCAAGGACGTCCGCAAAGGTCGATTGTTGGCCAGGTGACGTGGAACGCCGTGGAGACGGTGAGCGGGATTGGCAACGCGGAAGGGTTGAGGATCGTTGGCTTGCCAAGTATTCGGCGATAGCACGGGGCCGCTCACCATCTCTGGGTTGACGAGCATCCGGACGAAAGCCAGGAAGACCCATGTGCCTGTAGGCGCACTCACGGTAGATGTGACCTGGTTCACCACAGTGATAACATAGAGGCCGGTTGTCGGGAGCATGCCATACACTGGATTTCCGTGTAAGGGGTGGGTTGCCGTACTGCGGTGGTCCTGAGTAGAATGACGGCGCCGTCTGCAGGGTGGACGGACGGGACGGATAGCCAACAGCCGGTGCAGGAGTACGTAGTGCTTCCGCGTACATTAATAGAGGAGCTTCGGCTGGACGCGGGGCCGTCATAGGTTGGACTTCGGCTGCACGCAGAGTCGTCATGGGGTGCACCAGCTGCCGGACTTCTTCGCAAACGACATCCGTTAGAGCAGCAACATGGGGCAGAGAAGACACCACGTGCAGCTTTTGCAGCTCCTCGCGCACAATACTGCGCACGAGCTCCGTCAGGTCTTTTACAGTCGTGACGTCAGGTGTTGGCAGGGCCGACGACACTGACGAAAGACTGCCAGGACGCTCATACTGGTACGAACGCTGCCTTAGCATTCTTTCCATTGTCGTGGCTTCGCGGAGGAAATCCTCTACAGTGCTGGGAGGGTTCCGCACTAGTCCCGCGAACAGCTGTTCTTTCACTCCCCGCATTAGGAGGCGCACCTTCTTCTCTTCGGTCATTGAGGAGTCGGCTCGCCTGAACAGCCGCGACATGTCCTCAACGAACATGGCAACACTCTCGTTCGGTCGCTGGTTTCGGGAATTGAGGAGCCGTTCCGCTTGTTCCTTTCGGTCAGAGCTTCGGAAGGTATTTCGCAACTGGTTGCAAAACTCTGGCCAGGTTGTCATAGTGGCTTCATGGTTTTCGAACCAAGTGCGCGCAGAGTCCTCGAGATAAAAGTAGACATACCGAAGCTTTCGCTGCTCGTTCCACTCGTTGACGCTGCCGCAACGGTTGTAGTCGTCAAGCCAGTCGTCGACG